AGACAAATACCTGTGGTGATCATGTCTTCTGAGAACATCCTGACTCGCATTGATAGGTATTTTTTCAATTCGATCATTTTTCTTTTGCATCTGTGTTTGATATTGAGGGATTATTATATAAATGTGATGGAGTTGATCAGCTCAAGATCATCATGATTTCTGTATGTTGTTAATCGAATAAAATCTGAAAAGGATAGCCATTTGGAGGATTATACCAACTAAAGTTATTATGGCAAGATCAAATAAAGATGTGATTATGTGGCCAAAAAAAGTAAAGATTGAATATCTCTGGTTAAGTTGTCATTATCTGACCTAAACCGTGACTCGTTGATTATTTTACTCCTGGATTGATGATCTACAAGGTGTGTTGTTCCAATTATGTATAATTTAAGGGAATCATGTCAACATTTTCCATAAGTTAAATTATTTCCTATTTGAATATTGTCGTCCAAATCTGAGGAAATCTTATGATTTCATAATTCTCAAGAAAATATATGCAAGGAACTTTAAATGTAAGGGGAAGTTAACTGGGGCAGCCCTAGCATTTTATATTTTTGATTTTTGCAGCCCCAGTCTATACGTTTGATTCAAAGACAACATTACCCGAATATGCTAGTGGTATTAATAGCTTATTTTCTACTTACAGATGCTTGGAAGAAGGGGCAGAGGAGTTTCTTGTGAAGCCGGTAAAACTATCAGATGTGAAACGGTTGAAAGAATTCATTCTTAAAGGAGAAGCAGAGGGAAGTGGAGAAAGAAGAGTTTGCAAAAGAAATCTTGAAGATGATAGCCATTGTTCCTCCTCGTCGTTGTCCTCCCCATCATCTTCATCATCATTGCCTTCGTCGTCACCGACACACAAAGAGGCATGTGATGATGATCTAGCAGCCTCAGAGCCATACTCACCAACATCACCTCTGCATCCATCAAAGAGGCATAAATGGCTTAACAGAGACTGATTCAACTAAATCAACTACTTCCAGAAAATTCTTTTGTTTCTATATTGTCTATATATATCCTCACAGTTTTTGCAGTATAGGGTGGGACAGAAGATAATTTTGTTAAATGTAAGTTGCACTTACACTGGCCTAAGTAAATGCTAACAGGAAGAACTAGCTAGGACCAGATAGATACAACAGATGTTCCTTTTTTGTTGCTGCTTTATGTTCCTTGTACCCTGTAGGAACTGAAGTTTCATGAGAATCAATGAAATTCCAAATATTTGATAGCTTCTGCTTCCTGTTTCTTCTGGATTTGCTTAACTTGCGAAGTTACATCATGTAAATTCTGATTCTAAATTGGATGGTAGAGCCAGAGTTTCTACCACCCTATGACTTACATGTTAGATATGCAGCTTCAACCTTCAAGTATTCGAACATGCTGTATATTTGCATCGTGGAGTTTTAATCCTACTTTAACGTCAATGGCTGACCCTATCAGATTTTACCCCCTCATTCCTATGAAACTTAACCATTAAATGTTGGAAACATAAAATCCAAAGCTGGAAGAGGCATCACTTCTTGATTCATTGGTTTTTGTTTTTGTTTGACTATACTTACACGAGTGATTGTTTCATAAGAACATTGTATGTCTATCCTCTTTAAAATACATCCTTCTAACCAAGCAACTGGTAATGTTTTCGGATAGAAATATGGTAAATATGCTACATCAATCTCTTTGTCTTGCGAAGTGAGTATTGGAATAGAAAATGCCAAGTTTCCTCCATACAATTTCTGTTCAGTCCTTTGCTTTGAAAACAATCTTCCATTGCTTAATAATTTCACATTCCTTGTAAGACTGCCTAACAATAGTCTTTCTGCAATTATGCCAGTTGCACTCACACCATTTCTGAAGATCTGCAAATGTTTCCTAATTTGAGGTCCCAAATTCTGAGAGGTTCGGCAAAGAAACAGAGCATCCTCTCTTGTATACTTGCAATCACGTGCACATTTGAAAAAAAAATAAAATAAAATAAGAGAAAAGGAACCGTATCAGAAAGATGGACTATCATGTTCTCATCTTAGCAAGTTGACATATACTTTCTCCAAAATCCCCTCCACATACTTCTTTTGGGTGCCCTTAGTAACAACCCTGACGGCATAACCCAAATTGTACTGCAGTAAGCAAAGTCCATAGCTGATATCTTTAAAGAATCAAAAACTCAACCCCATCTAATTCCTCAAAAATACCCAATAACGTCCATTTAAATGGACCTAAACTTTGGACTCTCTTTAGACCTACAAAATTTTTAACAGTGAATGTAGTACATTTATAATTATAATATGATATTAAATAAATAAATTTATATAATATTATAGATAAAATTTTAAATTAAAAAATAAATTATATAATAACATATTATATTATAACCTTACAATACTATGTAATTTTATAATTATACTAGTAAATAAAAGATTTTTCTAACCTTTATTTTAAAGTCACATTTTTATTATAAACACATAAAAAAATGCAAAAACTGACATTAATTTTAATATTAATGTCAAGTGGTTGAATTTGATCAAACAATTAATAAATTGAACATTAATTTTTATTTTTTTAATAAAAATTTATTATAAAAAATATATTTATTTAATTCTAATAGTACAAATTAGACAAATCCTTAACTAAATGCATGTCGCCCTTCCTTGTCACAACAGTGTTACCTTAAAGTCTGACTTGGGTTTGCGTTGCACATTAGCTGCTGTTAGTTCCCAATTTACTGCCAAATACCAGGCAATGGTGACAGCATCTTTAAACCCTTACAAAGAGAAGTAATGAACATCTGCAGTGGTTGAGTGATTTGATTAAATGAGTTTAATAGCATTCCCTGTGGGCGCCACCTTAGGTCTGCCAAGCAATATACAGGAAGCTGCAACTCCATTTACTTTACAATCTTAACATGTCAGCTCACATTGATGGGATACAAAGCCTTTAAGGCCTCCCAACTCCTATAACCAAAACTATTAATTGGATTCCAAAAACAATAAAACAAACCCTTAATTGGTTATGGCCTAGCAGTGAGAGGTGGGTGCTTGGTTAACTGAATTCAGTATATATATATAATAGAAATAATACTTATTTACCTTACTTTTTAAAAATTAAGAAGAATATTATTAGCACATAAGAGAAATTCAGTATATATATATATATATATATATATATATAATAGAAATAATACTTATTCACCTTACTTTTTAAAATTTAAGAAGAATATTATTTTAAAATTATATTATTTTAATAAATATTTATTAAAAAAATTAAAATATCTTATTTTTAAAGTATAAATTAAGATATTTTTATCATTTTTTTTTAATTTTTTAAAAATAAGATAAACAAACATTAACCATAATAAATATTATCAAACAAAATTTATATTGTTTTTAATTATTAATGAGTGGATAGATCTCAACGTCAAGATACCTACTTTTTCTATCAATAATTAAATATTGCACTTTAATTTTT